GCTGGCTGACTGAGGTGTGCACTTGTACCTGGATGGAGCTGGCTGACTGAGGTGTGCACTTGTACCTGGATGGAGCTGGCTGACTGAGGTGTGCATTTGTACCTGGATGGAGCTGGCACAGGAAGCAAAAGGCAAGGGCCTGACATGGTCTCTCCTCTCTGTCGGAAAATTCTATGTTTAAATCTAGATTCCCGGGTTGTTTAAAAGATATATCTCACAGTTTTGTTGTTGAGTGCCATGGAGTCGGTTCAGACTCTTTAGTAACCCTGTATGGAGTTTCCAAGAAGCAGCTAGTGAGTTTGAACTGTGGATCTTGCGGTTTAAACTCACTTGCAGCCCGGTGAATTTTTCACAGTAGGCAGAGAATTTGTTCGCTTGATATGGTAACTGTAGATATTGGAGGAGGTGAAGATTAGAACATTTTCTAAAAGCCCACTTTCTTGAACATGAACCTGTTTTCTAGGGCTGGTGTGTTTGCAAGAGAAGGTTTGATATTCCGTGGGGGTAGTGTTGTTGTTGTTAACTGAGGGGGTTTCAAACTCACCAGCCACTCCTCGGAAACCTACACAGGGTTGCTATGAGTAGGAGCCAACTGGGTGGCACTAAATAACAACAGTGTGGTGAGTAGGGGAAGAGATAGAAGACTTTTTTTGTTTGGGGCCCTTTTCCCTCCGGTCATTGGTCAAGGATATTCAGTCCTGCTCCTCTCCCCCACAGCATCCCTGGGGCTGCTAGGGGCTCACAGGGCGGCTTTGTCTGGAAGGCGAAGGAGGCCAGCATGCAGGAGAGTCGCCACGGCGGCTGGAGTTTGGACTAGAACTTTCTTCCGCCTCCTGCACGAGTTCCCGCGCTCCAGCGGGCCCGCCACAGCCGCCGAGCGCAGGCACCGCGGGCCAGGGTCGGGGTCGGGGTCTCGCCCCGAGGCGGACGGCGGCGTAGGGTCCGGGAGCGCGCGCGTCCCTCCCGAAGGGGCGAGGAGCAGGGGAGTGGCAGGAGCAGGAGGAGGTGGTGGCGAAGGAGGGGCTGAAGCAGGGGCGTCCGGCGGGCTGGGAGGAGCCGCCGCGGGCCGTGGCCGGCAGAAGAGGCGGTGGCGGTGGCGGAGGAGGCGGCGCTCCCGCCTGGCCCGAGAAGAGCGCTGGAACCCGTGCGGCCGTGACCCCGCTGCTCCCCAGAGGCCGAGCGCGGCGGCCACGGACAAAGGAGCATGTTGGCGCCGAGGAGGGCCCGTCCTCCGGCCGCCATGAGGCTCCGGGTGCCGCCGGGCCCGCGCCGAGCGCCTGCCCGTCCAGGCGCCGTGGTGGCCCGCTAGGCCCGCAGGCCCGGCCCGCCACCCGGTCAGCGACATGGAGCCACCGGGACGCTGGCGGGGCCGCACGTCTTCGCCGTCGCCGCTGCTGCTGCTGCCATTCGCGTTGCTCGCGCTGTTGGGAGGCGGCGGCGGGGGCGCAGGAGCACTGCCCCCCGGCTGCAAGCAAGACGGGCGGCCCAGAGGAGCCGGCCGGGCTGCGGGCGCCGCCGAGGGCAAGGTGGTGTGTAGCAGCCTGGAGCTGGCGCAGGTCCTGCCCCCGGACACGCTGCCCAACCGCACGGTCACCCTGTGAGTAGCCCGGGGCGCACCTCCACGCTCGCGCCAGCACCTCTCCCACCCGGCTTTCGCGCCCCCTGCTTTTTGCGCACCTTTGGAGCGGGGGGAGGGTCTTGCTGGCACCCACGCGCCTTTGTGTGGCTGAAGCTGCCTGCCGGCTGTGTGTGGGTGGTAGTGGGGGCGGGGTCGTGCTGATGATAGAAGTCCTCGGTTTGTTTGTACTAAGTGGACTTCAGGGAGTGGTTCTGTGTGTGACAAGTGACGCTGCCTCCGAGCTGCCTCCCAGATTTACTTAAGTTTACTTGAGTAAAAGTTTGTGGGTTCCCAGGCGCGCCCCGCGCAGTCCCAGACGCTGCGCTTGGGTCTCCGCACGACGCCACGTGAGGACTAGAGTAAACATGCAGTTGGCGGAGTTAAAGCTCATTCATCCCAAACTGAAGTGCTCCCAAACTTAGAAGTCAAAGGACGTTCACTTTTGTTGGTAGAGTTTGCGGAATATACAAAACATAAGGGCTTTGAAATGCACCCGTGTTCAAACTCCCAGAGGATGTCATTGCCTTTTATTTAAGGACCTGAAATATCTATTAAATGAAGTGTTAGTGCATCTTTGCATCTTGAAACTGGGTTCCAGTTGTTGAGCCATCCACCCACCATAAGAGACTTTTGACTTTTGGATTGAGTTGCAACCTGGAAGGAAAAGTTTTGGTCTCCTAAATCACTTTGTGCTGGGATTTGCGGTCCAGGTTTGCAAGCGTACTCTTTGCTCATTCTAGCTGAGCAGTTGGCCCCAGTGACTCTTAATTTGATATTCTGGACGATGAATTGGTTTGGAAACGTTTCAGCCTCAGCGTTTCTAATGGTTATTTTGCCAACTGAAATATGAGTCCCCTGGCTCTGTGTGCGTCCATGTTTTGGTTGGTTTCCTAAAAAAGAATCAAGGCTGCCAGGATTAATACATGACAGCAAGACCATCAACATGACCCATGAAAAAAAAAAGTTAGCTCTAAATGCCACCGTAATTCTAGTGTTCATTCTTCATTTCATTTAATTGTTTAACAGGAAAACGGTGCCGTTCCATCTGCTCAGAGGCATGGAGATGGGTACAATTGAACTTTGTTGGTTTCCTTTACCAACACTTTACCATTTGGTGAGCGCAGTAGTTGGGTTTTTTTTAACCAGGTCCTTTGAAAAAGGTATGGCTTTACCCCCTGTTAGCCTGCGGAAGTAAGCAGTAAGGTTGTTCTGGGTCAGTACCACTAGAGTTGTATTTACGTTCAGGTTACCTGACATGTCCTCAGTACTTGCTGGGTTAGATGAACTATTTGTCGATATATGATTTTGCTTTGCAGATGGAAAAAATAGGTAATATGGTAGAAAATCACTTTTTGGCATACTAAATGTGACATACCTGTGTAGGATCAGAACTGGACTTTGAACCAGTTGAAACCCACCAGCTGCTTCTGGGAAACTCTATACAGGGTTGCTGTGAGTCGAACTGACTCATGAGCACTTAACAACAGCAACAATAATGACTGAAAGTAGATTGTGGCACTGTAGGATAAGTATTGGTCTGCGAAACACAAGGTTGCTGGTTCAAAGCCACCAGTCACTCCTCGGAAATCATCCTATATAGGGTTACTGTGATTTAGAACCCACTTGACGGCAATGAACAAAAATTAGTGCAAATATTTTACTCAATTTTTCATGAGACCTTCTGTGTGCCAGTGTAGAATTGTGTTCCACAGTGGTGTGTGCTCTCCCACCCCCCCGGCTGATTTTTCAGAAGTACATTTCCAGACGTTTCTTCTGAGACTGCTGGGTGAACCCTAACCTCCCACCTTTTGTTTAGCAGCCAAGTGTGTAAATGTTAGATTCAAATCCATTTCTTTTTGTAATCAGAAGCTCTGATTACATATGGAAGAGAATAAAGTTAATTAAAATAAATGAGAAGAAATTGCAATATATGGATCAAATAAACCTGAAGTTCTGGATGGAGTTGATTCAAGATACTTCATTCTGGTAAAGGATGGTCTAGCCTCCTCATGTTGCTAATGAAGGAGTCAGTGATGTAGCATCATTAAGGGATTGAGCAACGCTCTTGCGCTCTATCTCCCAGAGTCCTGCTATGTGGTTTATTTAGATGTTTTGTCACCTTCCCCCTACCTTCATCTTCCTCTAACTTCACAGTTTTTGTTGAGTGATTCCTAGGTGGCAGAGAGCATTTGGAAATTTGGAATATAAATTGAAATATGACTATTCTTTTCTAAGAACTTAGGGGTGTTTGGGGGAGATGTTTATAAATTAAAGCCTTAGTGCACCCCTGTGATAGAGAGAGTAGCCCTGGTAGCATTGTGGGTTACGAATTGGGCTGCTAACTTCAAAGTCAGCAGTTCGAATCTACCAGCTGCTCCATGGAAGAAAGATAGGGTTGTCTCCTCCTGTAGAGACTTACAGCTTTGGAAACATTATACAGGGTCACTATGAATTAGAGCCAATTCCATGGCACATGACACATCACAACCATGATAGAATGATATAGTATTGTGGCAAAAGGAACCCAGAGGTGGGCAAGCATAGTGTCTGTAGTGTATGCTTGGTGAGATGGAGGTGGCTTCCTAAGCCCATTGGGGAAAGATAAAACATCCAGGAAATGAAATGAGGAAATGAAGGTGGGGGATGTGAGGGGGACCCCAGCAGGCACATAGACTTGAAGAAGGCAACATCTGGTTGTGATGCTGTATAGTTTGTGTTGCTAGAATGTCGAGGGCTAGTGTCCAGTATCTGAAGTGGTTGTTGTTGTTGTTGTTAGGTGCCATCGAGTCGGTACCGACTCATAGCTACCTTATGCACAGCAGAACGAAACACTGCCCGATCCTGGGCCAGTCTCACTACTATTGCCACACTTGAGTCCATCCATGCTGCCACTTGGCCAATCCATCTCGTTGGGGGTCTCCTTTTTCTCTGACCCTCCACCTTACCAAACATGATATCCTTCCCCAGCGACTCGTCCCTTCTGACAATATGTCTGAAGTGTGAGAGACGGAAGTTTGGTCATCCTGGCCTCCAAG